TTGATTACATGTTATGCTTCCCTGGGCGTACTCCATAAATCCACTGTGTTCGTCCATATTTTTGGTTTCTATGTTTTAAGCATAAAGTTGCATAATAGACTATATGCTCTGTGCCCACCGCACTGATGTAGCTTTGAATGTAAATGTTGTAGGCCTTCACGCTTACCGCTGAGCCACAGAGGGTGGGGGTGGGGGCTCTGTTTTCGTAATCTTTTAAAAAATTAAATGTTCACTATACTAAGCGACTCTGTTTTCAGTTTGTCTAACTTTCGAGTGAGTCCAATAAAAGGGTGGAATGAAAATTAAAAGAGATTATGTCTGCCATCAATTGATATCTTTCATTCTCGGTGAAACTATCTGAGATAGAGAAAACATCTTATGCCAGAGTCATGTAACATATCCTGACAGAGTCATGCTAGAACAGGAACTTTTATGAAAAGTAGAGAATTCATAACTATGGAAAGTCTACAAAAAGAGCTGAGGAGAATCCGTAAGTATTATAGCGTAATACATATTGTCCCCCCCCAAAAAAAAATTAAGATCTAGGATTGTTAAAAATAGTTTCGAAAATATGATAAAGCAAAGATGTTCAAGTTCATTCATCATGAAGACAATTGATAAACATATAAATACTGTTTAAGAAATTTTTTATCGGAAAGCAATGTGACATTTGTAAAAGTTGTTTAAACTATTCTAAAGGAGTTATTAAAAACCCTATTTGGTAAGCAAGGTTTTTCACTCCCTTCTTACGTACCGTATAATCAGTCGATTTTATCGCTCATATTAAAATAAGCCAATAAGTTCAATACCTATTTATTTAACATAAAATAATAGAACACAACGTTAAAGAGTTTTATTCGGTCATTTGAAACGTATTGTTAAATTTATTGTTTTGTTAAATCACAGTAACCAGACAGACTTGGAAGATTTTGAGAAATTTTCTTATTTTTATATACTTATCCTGTAAACGAATACTAATTTTAATGAAGATTAAACATTTATTGGATTAAGTCCATTTTGTTTGTTGCTTTAGCATAAATCGGAACAACACCCTACCTGCGCTGTATTCACCAAAGGTAACAACCCCAAATTTTAGCGTTTGAATTTAAATATATATATATATTGACTGAGTATATTGGTAAAAAACAGTTTTATTAACGAGTCGATTACTTTGTGGGTTTAAATTCACAGTATCTTTATGTAGGGCAAAAAATGTCCGCTGAGTCAAGGATAGTATTAGCACGTTTATGTTGTTCTTTCGAAACCAAATATCATTCAATTAATGATACTTAACTTATTATCCATTCCACTACAGTATATATTATCCATAACGTAAGTTGAATCTACTACTATAACTCTGAGTCTCAAGCGAAGTTTTATTTTAAAACTCGGTTCGAGTTTGTATTTGATATTCCGCTCTAAAAAAAGGTGTAATTTACACCATTGTGAATATGAAGTTCTCACACAGAAGCTACACACAAAAAAATGATTTCACAACCACAGTGTTTATGTATTGTGTAAGTTATACTTTATTACTTCTTTATTTTCATCAAAAGTATTAATAAAAATGTTTAATATATCTATTTTTATTATCTTCAACATTTTTATCATAACATTTTTACTATAAAAATTATTTTGCTTTGTTAGCTTAGTATATTTAGGACTAACCCAGATATCCTAAAGTGGCCGAGCCTCGTGTTATATTATTGGAATTACGACCGAAAATATTGCTCATATCCAACTGATTAAACAACGCATTCTAATCTTAATAAGTAAGAGCAGTAGAATTAATTAGCTATATTCGTTACTGGATTTATTTTAGTGCTAATCTATGTGCGTAGCTTTATTAATCAGAAGTCAATACTATATAGCAATTTTTTAAGCTAATACTTCATAAAAAAGTAAGTGACAGTGTAAATGTATTTATTTTTAAGAGTTACTGTATTTTAATAAAAGTGCATATTAATAACATTTTATGGTATTAATGGTAAAACTGTCTTAATGTAAGTGCTTCTGTTAACATTTTCTTTTCTTCACACACCACTTCATCCATTCTGTTTATAAATTCCCATCCTTACGTGTTTATCAGTAATGTTAATTTTTACTTCTTCTAACTTTACATCTTTAAAGTATGTTTGTTGGATTCACACCCTAGTGACACCTTTTTTTGTGAGAGTAAATAACGTTTATCTTTAATTAAGAAGATGGGTACATTCTTCAAAACCATTCGAAGTTCCGAGTTTTTGTGTAACTTGTTTAATCAGGTTTTAACTGTTTTTTACTTCCTAATTAACAGCGAAGGATTTTTATTGTCTCTTTGTCAAATTTATTCATAGCTTCAAGACAAGGCTTAATGATAAAAGCAAAGATTTGTGGACAATAATGATTAAATAACCGACCGCGACTTCCTGTAATTTTTTTTATTACTATTTGTTTTTTTTTGTTTTTGTATTTTAACCACTCTATGTTCTATTGTCAGTAAACTAATAGCAACATTTATAAGGATACAGAAATAAACATATTTACGGAGTGAGAGACATCCTTGTTGTATACGTCATATTCTGAATAAATTATTTTCTAAATTTCAGAAACGAGCCCCCAGTGGTTCAGCGGTAAGTCTGAAGACTTATAATGCTAAAAACCAGGTTTAGATATTCGTGGTGGGCACAACACAGATAGCCCATTGCGTAGCTTTGTACTTAACAATATAAGAAACAAACAAAACCATAAACGACAGTGTGAATATATGATAGAGTCCTTTTAGCACCTTACTTCCATTTTAAATTCTAGTTGTACAGTTTATTCATATTTTCTTACATATAACTGAAAGTAAATGCATCTTTACGCAAAACGAATTCACTCAAACATAAGGAACTGAATTTGTCATAAATTCGATTGTATACTGAAAGGTCAGTCGAACATCGTTTGCCTGTTTTAATGGCTGTTGCTTTGTTAATCTGTAGCATATTCTTGTTTCTATATCATTGAAAATATTTAAAATGTACATTATATGATATGTTCATGGTTATGGCAAGGTAATTAGAAGACATAAATGAATACTCTTATAATATTATTTGTATCATTCCACAATACCAAATTGTATTGCTCAAGAGTTTAAAGTACACATGACATTTGAATTAAAAATATTATTGATTCTTCCTTCTCTTTAGAATCAATCAAGTTTGTAGCAGCCTAGAAAGGTGAATATAATAGGCCTAAGTTGTATCCACAAACTCAAATTAGTTTCTCATTCTGGCTTAGCAACAGTTTACCTTGAAAGTCAAAATACCTGATATACAGTATTGGTAATAATTATGGACACGATGAGAAAAAATCTGTTAAAAACAAATGAAAAATAACTGCACTGAAGTTTAGTCTCGTGTTGATATTTTACATTGTCATTGGTTGTCATCCAATCAATAAGAAAGTCCCATACCAATATAAAACCTATAAAAGTACGGGCAGTCATACAATCCTCAGTAGAAGTAGCATGTTAAATTATAACCGCTAGAACCGAAATACCTCATTTCAGGAGTTTAGAGATCAAAGCTTTGATTGGTTGAGGGTGGTACTCTATGCGAAAAATTACGCTAAAACTCCACGTTTCAGTAATAGTCATATGCAAGATCTAAAAAGGGTACGTGAAACTAACCGTGTTCATAATAGAAGTAGTCGTATAAGAAAACTGAAACTCTTCAAAAGTTAAATATCTTATGTTCTCTGCGAGATAAACAAAGATCGAGCATAGATCTTGCCACTGATCTTGCTCTAAATACAGGTGTGAACGTCACCTAAAGAACAATAAAACACATTAGTAAGAAACACTTTCAAAAATCTCTGCTGAGAAGAGGTAAACAAACCAAAAGGTCGAAATAGACGTCAGACCCATAAACAATGGAATGAGCAAAACTAGAGATTTTCGAACTATTGGTAAAAAATCAGCTACTTAAAGAATGACATTTGCCTGAAACGTCATGTGCTAATTTATTTCAATGTTTTATTTCCAGTGCAAATTTTCCATAAGCTTCTTTAATTACTAGGTATCAAAGTGGAGTAAACATTTACGTTCAGTTTCTCTTATCTTTCTTTTCTCTCAGTCGTATTAAATACAAAAAGAAGAGAGTAAACATGGTATAACAGTTTGACTATAGAATATCTCAACGTCGGATTTGTTAAATAGTAAATGTATTAACGGTTGTTGGCTGAAATTAGCTATGTTTTATAGCTGAAAAATACAAAACTTTTTCATTTCAATAATTTTCATTTTACGTTATCATATTACCAATATACAGATTCAAGTCAGATTAATTCCATGTCTGAGCTTCATGTTATACGGTAGTATGAACAAAGTAGTTTTACCTCCATTGCAGTAACAGTTTGACAGATCTTAATGTTATCCCTATAGCAAGCTTTCTGTCACCGGGAAGGCCATTTGTCACCTGGAAGGCCATTTCCTATAAACAGCGCCCTTTTATTCAAAACTATTTATACCTAGAGCTCCAAGAAAACTTTTAGTTCTCTTATTATAATCATTATGTTAGTCCTAATATGTCTCTCATATATCTTGATGTGATAGAAAACTGCAAGCATTTCAGCTGCAACAAAACTATAACACTTCTTTATTTCTTTGGCTCACTTTTAGCTATTTGAAGTCGGTATTTTCAGTACAGCTATTCTCTTCTGAATATGAATTCAGCAACATTCTTCAAAATAAATTGGGCTTTTTTATAATAAATAATACCAAGCTTTTCTTTAAGTTATCTTTATTGTTTAATGATTTCTTTTCATTTCATTAAAAAAAATACAAACACCCAAATCTTACAGTTTTATAAAACTTGTCAGTTTATATTGGAAGGGAACAAAAATTTTACAGCTGTAGAAAATAATCACTTTATACCGGAAACACCCAAATCTTATAGTTTTATAAAACTTGTCAGTTTATATTGGAAGGGAACAAAAAATTTACAGCTGTAGAAAATAATCACTTTATACCGGAAACACCAAAATCTTATAGTTTTATAAAAATTATCAGTTTATACTGGAAACTAATTAAGTAAGGATAAAAGAAACTTGGGATTGAATTGTAAGTCTCCATCATTGCAGATCATCAATCTGACAATCCTTTGTATTTGTTATGAGGAAGGTTGCTGGCACCTTGTTCTGTTATAATTGATCTACACATTACGAAGGGATTTATCATAACGTAATTTCATTTGGTATGAAAACAGCATCTGTAAAGTACTTTTATCGGAGCAGTCACGAGGCTTAAAAAGTATTATAACATATAATTTAATGAAGTGTCTTGTTAGTTAAATAAAGTGGAAACCAATAATAGTCTGTTAAGTCATTTCCAGTTTATTTCGTTTCTGACATTTCATTTAATAAAGTGAAACTTCGTACCAGATGCACAACACCAACAATGAGAAATGTTCTAAGTGGAGCGATTTGAAAACCTTCACATGTCATAGTAAACTATGAGAGAGTTGAAAAACTGATTTAGATTAACACCAAACGCATCATGTCTCACACTAATATAATGTAGGTGTACTTTTAAGTTATCTTAAAAGTGAGAGCGATATATACGACATCCTGTTCATAATAACAATTAGGGAAATTCTTAATATAGTAGATGTAATGTTCAAGTTACATCTTACAAACTGAACTCATTTCTTTGTAGCATATATAATATTTTCATTCTTAGCTTTAGAAGATTAACAAACTAAATAAATTATGTTTTGTAATCCGTATGTTAAAATTTGATGCAATGTTAGGAAGTAAAGAAATTGTTTTTTTTATTAGGGCAATAAAAGAATATAGGGTGGATCTACTTTAAAATAAGAAATTTCACACTGATGGCGATTGTAAGTATGGGTATGGGTAAATGTCTATTGGTATAAAGAAATGATAGTTAATGATGTATGTTATATGTAGCAACATTCACATGATACAGACTATATTATAACAGAAAAAAAAAACAGAGTAAAAACTTATTCTGAGTTCATACGCATAATTCATCAATACTTATTAATTTTAAAAACGATTATCGTTATTAACTTCATGAAGTAGTCTCTGCTCAAAGCTGGCAAATTTTGTCATTAAACGAAAAAGTTAAGATAAAAACATTGATAATCATTCAGGTAGGGTAACGAAGTACTTATAGAAAGTTTTAAGCAGCCAATGGAATCTCTTTACTCTTTCTTTTTAACCCCACAGTGGCACAGCGATATGTCTGCGGACTTACAATGGTAAAATCCGGGTTTGGATACCCGTGGTGGGCAGAGCACAGATAGCCCATTGAGTAGCTTTGTGCTTAATTACAAACAAACAAACTTTTTTAAATATATAAAGTTATGATATGCTCTGAATATATGCATAAAAATTATATTCTCAACTATACATAACCAACAACAATTTTAATTTGTGAAGATTTCATTAAAAAATGTGTAACCCACTTTAAACTGCTTTTTTTGCTACATGCATAATGATTCTTTCTCTACAGTTAATTTATTTCCATTGTTTGTGACTTTTCAAATTAAACCTACCCGCATTTTATGGTTTAAAATAGAACTCTGAAGCTAGACTAAGACATTTTTGTCATGAAAATAGAAAACAAGGAGTACAAAAAAGGTAGTAGTAAAAATGACAGTTTTTTTTTAAAAGAAGTTTGTGAAAAACAAATCGTATACAACTTCAAGTGAAACAAAAATGTAACGATAACGTTGATTTTTGATGGGTTGTATGAAGGCAGCTGAAAGATTTATTAAAATATATGGATGCTAATCAGCTCAATAAGTTTATCTACAAAAAAAAACAGCTCCTGATTTTAGTACTAATTTTAAATGTCAGCTTACCGTTACAATTTTGAGTTTTGGAAAGATATAATTCAAGGTTAGATGTAAATTTATATGTTGGTTCCTTAGACTAAGGTTTATATATAGAACTTACATACTTACATACATAAAGATATAATATGTGTTACGTATTAGAATATCTAATGGTCTGAAACCGAGTTTACTGATACTTTAAATTTAGTAGTTAAATTGTACTTTGGATTTAGAAGTTAAGTGAAAGCCTATATATAGTCAGTTTATGACATTTGCCAATAAGATTGATATACGCAGTTTTCTTTATTGTAAACACAAATACGTTTTAATATACACTCAACAATACAATTTACAATAACAATTATTACAAATAGTTATTACAAACAATGATTTATACACAAAAGTTTCACAAACTTGCAAACCATATAAAGTTTTCTTTCTAGTCTGGAACCTCCTTGATATCTTATCGAGAGTTCACGATGAACGAGTTAATTACGAGTTGACGTGGGTACAATTCGCTTAACAGGGAGATAGCTAGCTTTGTCCTTCGTTATTCACCAGCCACACACGCCGAGATTTCCCACGATGAAGTTATATAATGTTTTCATTAAAATACTAATGTTCGATGAGAATCCACTGAAGTTAAATGATTTGTAATGTTCGAACTTTGTAAATGTTTAACATATTTAACAGTATAAGTTATGTATGTTTCTAAATATAAACTTAATCTAAACAAACGTTGATATTAAAATAAATATATAATAATAAATCCGCCAAATACGATTAAATTAAACTTAACATTAATATGAATCACTCGTGTATTTTTAAGATTGTCCGTTATACTTATTTAAAAAAAAGAAAGGTGAATGAATTTTTGTATAAGTTTTTTATTTATGAAAATAAAAGTTTTAATCATGTTTCATAGTGTATGTCTTTGAGTTAACTTCGTTTTCACGTTTCCAGATCAACAACCAACATTAATCATCTTAGAAATTTATCACTGTTAGTTCAGAATCAGCAACAACTGTTTTTCTTGTTTTGTTGTTTTTCCACCTGGGTAACTTATCACTGATTACTGGGTACCTTCTAGTGTTAGTTCAGATTAACCAACAATCGATGATAACTTACTGGGGAACTTCTAGTGTTAGTTCAGATTAACCAACAATCGATGATAACTTACTGGGGAACTTCTAGTGTTAGTTCAGATTGCAGCAAGAACCAATGATGGTTACCTGGGTAACGTATCACTGAATAGCGAACAGCTTATAGTATATTCTCACATTCAGCAACAAACGGTGTTGGCCATTTAGGTAATTTTTCACTAATTATTGAGGATTTTTTAGTGTTAGTTCAGATGCAAAGTTAAGATTGGTTTACTGTTAACGTCAGAATAACTCCATGCATTTTTTTTTTCACTTAACTGTCTTTAAAAACTTGAGTATAATAATTATGACCAAAAATATGTGTTCATTCAATACACTTTGCCATTAAAGCCTTTTCTTATCTTGTGAACTGATTTACAATATTAAATAGTCCTTGTTAGTTTGTTATATACTATAAGCTTCATTTATGATATTTTTATGTTCTTATCTAGTTATTTTTTATCAGACGTCCTAGATAGTATTGAATTGCTTGAGCTAAATATTGTTTTTAAGTGCAAAACAAAACAACGGTCTATTTACGCTATGCCCGCCATGGATGTCGAACCTCTATGTTTAACATTATAAACCCTCAAGCTATTCGTTGTGTCACCGCGGAACCAAGCAAACCAAAAGCTTTATTTCTTGAATGGCCAAAATGTTAGCATACTGTTTTATATTGATGTTATTGTCTACATGCATGGAGTAGTTGCTGAGTAAATGTCCGAGTTGCAACAGAGAAGGTAGCGTATGATCGGACAAACATGTACGATTGTTATTCTGTCTGTATAAGTTGTTTTGAGCATTTGTTTGTGAAACACACATACACACTTGTTTTGTATAAAAGGTATGCTTTTGGTATAATGTTTTTCGAAACAGATCAACGCTTTGTTCAAACAATTTCTCTGTACTTGGTGTCGAGTCATGCTTCGTCACGTGCCAGAAATTATAGAGCGTCAAATTATTTGACTGTCCAAAACAGTAGGGTACCCCCAGTGTATTGTATCCGAAATCCTGATACCTCATCGGACTACAGGAAACATTGTTCCTGGAAAGTCTACTGGTAGAAGCCGAAAAATAACTGTCCGAGATGACTGTGTTTTGATCAGGTTAACACGTCAATGTCGAAAGAAGTCTTGCAACACCTTACGACAGAAATAGGAGACTGACCAAACGAAGTTATTTTGCAAGAAAGGCTATCTGCAAACCGATATTAACCAGAACTCACCACCGTCACCGTGCTACTTGGGCAAGACAGCATGCTAAATTACAGTTAGGGCACTGATGACATGTCATCTTTTCAGATGAATCTGTTTCCGGCTTGTTAAAGCTGATGGTAGGATTGGTGTTCGTCATATGCCTGGAGAACAGATGAGGGAGACTATCTTTCCCACAGGGAACACACAGGATAAGGTGCAGAACATGCTTGGGTAGCTATTCATCATACTCTTCATATCCTCCAAAGAAACGTCAATGGCGCCTCCTTCAGGCATCACATGGAGATGATATTTCTGCCATATTCTAGGGCAAGGTCTGGCAATAACTTTGTTTTCCAGGATGACAATGCCATTGCTCACACTGCATCTATTGTACAAGATTATCTCGGCCAGGAGGACGGTACAAGATTGGCATTGCTAATAAAGTCTTCAGATTGGGCAAAACTGAGTCTGAAAATTGCTAACCACGACCATAAATTAGCTACTGTTGCTGAGTAGCAGCGCCTTCTAGTGAGAAAGTGGAATGAAATCACAGTGGATTACATCAATAACCTCATCGACAGCATGCCACGACCCCTTGTGGATATTATTAGAGTAGGAAGAGGATCAACCAAGTTTGAATGTTTAATATGAACTGATATAAGGTTACAGGCGCTAATTATAATGATTTGATGTTATATTTTGTCATTATATATGTTTTATTAAGGTTTTGTTGTGATAGGTGAAATGCTGAAGTACACATCTTTCTACAGGTGTCTGACACAATTATTTGCTGTTCTAATAAATCGTTCATGATGTCCATAGACCTGTATCAATATACAAATTACATATGTAGATGTTTAATATAACATGCATTTCTCAATTTTACAGCACTAAGTGTATTTGTATTCCACCTTAATAATAATTTTTTTTTGTTACAAAATATGCAAATATTTTAGCCAAAGCTGTACGTTTAGCTCTATCAGGTATGACACTTCCCAATATTCAGAAAATCATGATCATTTATAAATGTCTAACTTGGTTTATTATGCAGGAAAACGCTCTGGAGTATGATAAACTTCAGAACGAGTTGAATAATAAAGGTATTGTGCCTGAACTATTTACCTACTTAGTTATGGTTAGTTAACTTTACAACATTTTAGTAACAAGAACATTTAAGTGACTGACTGAAGTGTAGAAAAACATCACTTTGTAAGAGCTCTGGATTACTAAACTTTTTCTAAAAATTGTTCGTAATTACACGTTATCAAAGTCAGCTTGAAAAGGTTATAACATACAGGTATTACTGTATGTCCACATTCTCAAGTAACTTCTTTAATTAAAGATATTAAGAAAATTCTCTGAAAAAATTTCTGTTGAATTCCTAT